TTAAAAATTATTTTTTTATTTTGTACAAACAAAATAAATATATTGAAAAATATAAAAACAATAAAAAATTATACTTCAGAAGTTAATTTAGTATCAAAAACATAAAATATTTGAGTAGCCGAAGACATAGCCAAAGATTACAGCGCCACAGCACTGGCGAAAATTTAAATTTGTCGACTGGAATTCCTTCGGATAGCCGACGTTTTGGATAACCGACCTTCGGATAAACGACGCTCTACTGTATTTACATATTTTATTTATTGTGTTCATGTTTTAATTTATTATTAGGGCATCTTGTTAATGTTATATCTATCTTAAATTATATGTATTTACTGTTTTAAGATTATTGAAATGGGTATTGTTTGGGATCTAGAAATGATTTGTTCACTTTCTATTATTTCTAACAGGAAAAATTGATTCAAACTTCGAACAGTTAAGAGTTTGATCAGCTTTCACATGTAATATCAGAGAATACAAATATTATCTCCCCAAAGATAAACTTTGCTTAACTGCACTGCACACTGGGATGAATATAAAATACGACTCACATCATTTGTATTTTTTTATGCTTTTATTGATAGATTAAGGTGAGTAAATGTTACTCAACTAGGCCCTGCTGTAATAAATAAACAAAAGTTTATCCATTTTAAGATTTGTGCTATACATCTGCTCTATGGTAAGAAAAATAATAGGTAGAAAACAAGAATTTTTCACTACAAATAATTTGCTTTGAATAACATTTTTTTTAATGTAGAAGATGTGGTTGCTGTATCTTGAAATTCTGTGTGTAGCATCTTTGCAATCCAAACAATAATTTTGGTAGACGATCAAACAGCAATTAGTTAGGAAAATGTTACAGTTTATTTAAAACACTTTTTTAATTCAGATGCATTTCAGGTTGGCTTGTATTTCCAACCCCTCTTCAGTGCTGTTAAAATTACAAAAAACAAGGTGAGTTTCACGACATTGGTAAGTAGGACATAACAAAAACGTGGGGTGACAATAACATAAAAAACTTACATATTATATATTGGTACAGGATAGACTTGTGTGACAATATTTTATTACATAGTTGTATGACTATTTTCCATAATATGAAAAAGTAAAGGGCGTGGCTGTTTAACACAACATTTATATGAAAAAATATATATAACATGGATTATTAATTTCAAAATATCTATAAAGACTTACATTTTTAGTTAAAATGTATTATTCCTGATGAAGATGAAACAGAGTAAAAAATTGACAACTGGTGTTATCCGGTGTTCACAGAGTAACAGTATATCGACAAGTAATGTTATTTAAACCATTCCTAACATTCCATACAAGGGGGTGTGCTTTTAAACAATCTTTAACGCTTGGGGGCGCTCTCTATTAGTTTATACCATTGGGGGTCTATTGACATGCCTTCTGAAATATTAATTAAGTTATCTGTAGGGTGTTTTTTGATTTCTATGTGTTCTTTAAATTTCCTTTTATATGGGTCTTTTTCTAAATGTAACACTTTTATATTGTTTTTATTAATTTGGCAATTATTGTCACTTGTGTGGAAGTACCAGGGGGAAGTGTTATGTTTTAGGCGGATGGCAGCTTCATGTTCTTTAACTCTTGTTTCTAGTGGCCGGCCTGTTTCGCCGATGTAAGTTTTCGGATTTTGACAGTTGCATTCAAGTTTGTAAACAGTTCCTATAGTTTTAAGAATGTTTAGTTTGTTATTATGTTGTTTATTAATATCATAATGGATAATACCAATATGATATTTTGTTGGTCAAAGATGGTGCCAAACTGATATTGTCTTTTTTTAGGATCTTATTACAGCCCTCGAAAATATTTTTTATATATGGGAAGGTTTTGTATTTTTGTTTAATTTATATTTTGTATTAAATCTATTTTCCCAGTATTATTTTTGCCATGTGTTTAATTTCGATTTAGGATAGTCGTTAAGTAAAAATTTAGTTTCTAACTCCTTTATTTTAATTTTTTGCCATTTATTATCTGATATTCTTGTATATATGTTTTTTAACTCCATGATATAAATATTCTTTTTTATATATTCTGGAACATATGAATAGTAGTTGGTAGTTTTATTAACATTACATGGTTTTTTTTGTATGTTATGAAAGAAAAATTATTAAGTGTATTCATGATTGTTATGTCAAGGTAATTTATCTTATTATTGTTTTCTTTTTCAATATCAAATTGAATATTTTTGTTAAATTTGTTAGTGGTGTTCAGAATAGTATTATCATTTGTTATTCTATTATTGTATATTATTAAGTAGTCGTCCGCATATCTCATTACTAGTTTTATGCCTGGGATATTATTTATTTTTTTATTTATGTTTATCATAGCTAATTCAGCTAATTGCTATTTGATCGTTTACCAAAATTATTGTTTGGATTGCAAAGACGCTACACACAGAACACTTTTTTGGTTTTTTTTTGTTTTTTACCAATTAAACAGAGAATTTTACACAACTGAAATGGTACAGTATATTTCCTTCTTATGAAAACAATTGAAGCTCATATTGAAAGAAGTTTAATTTCCATGTAATAAAATAACAATTTTAACATTTAAAATAAGTCTTCAGTTTGTACATGTTTATAACACAGAAGTGGAAAACAAACAGTTGTATAGCTCTGGAGGTTTAAAATTGGTTTCTGACATGATTTTTGACAGAACAGAACTTGAAAAAAAAAGCAGAATTTATGTTTCTAGAAGATTTTAAACTTATTTTTGACTTTAGAATCTATTCCTAAAAGTATTGATAGAGTATTTCATTACACCCTGTATATACATTGTGTGGATGTGAGATAATTGAGAGGGGGAAGCAGAGGTTACAGCCTCTGTTACAGCCTCTGTTTCCCCCTCTCAATTATTTGGACCAAGATCTATTTGGGGTGTAGCCAAAATGTGTAGAATAAAATTTTAATTAGAGCTTAGAAAATTAATTTATATAATTTCAAATTCATAAAAAGAGTAAAAATAAATGTAATAAATTAATACAGACATCAGAGGAAAGGATAAGATAGTCTGGCAGAGTCCTATTTTCAGGATTTGTGATTGGTGTTCACAGAGTATTTAATATTATAAATATGTTTAATACTTTACAAGTTTAGATACAGAGTTAAAAATACAAAAGCTAAATTGAATTTTGTACTTTTATCAATTGTTACTAAAATGTTTTCAGTTTCAAAAGTCATTTTCACTGAATTTAGAATACATTTCATCAAAATAGTCAGTCAGTGTTGGAATTTGCTTACAAATTCTAAAAAAAATACTCAATTTGCTTTTTTCTCATTTCAAAATAATTTGATATACTGTATTTAAATAAAATAAATTTTTATTTACATTAAAATAGGCTTTGTTAATTGTTTTGTTTTGTTATTTTTCTAGCTCACGTCAACAGCACAATGACCTTTAAAGAAAATGAAGACAAAAATTACAAAACAAAGGTAATCGAAGATGTGGATATTGTTCTGTCTTACATCTTTAGCTGGTACATAAACATAAGTAAGATAGAAACATACCATAAAGAAAAACTTCTGAAAATTTCATCCCATTTGAACAATAACAAGTTGAATTAATTGTATTACAATCCCTTGTATTCTTTGTGTTATTTCTTTACCAATATTTAATTTATTATATTTGAAAAACTAATAAAGTATAATAATTTGATGTGAAAGAAATACTTATAAAACTTTACAAGTAATAACTTATACAGGAAATCCTTGTTAATTTAAACTTGGATTAGTTTGAAATGAAACTTTTGTCCAGACTGGGGATATAGAGATTTAATTTGAAAGTAACTACTTCAAAATTCAAAGTGAAATTCTGTCCAAACTGTGATATCAGTATGTTAACTCATTTATTTAGATCAAAGTGCCTCCATACTATAAGAGAACAATAGACCAAAATCAATTCTAATCTAGTCAATATGTTTTGCTTTTACAGTAACATATTTTTGGGTGTCACCTGGACTACCCTTTTTCTCTTATCTCATAAAATAAGACTAATTTTCAGGATGGCAAGATAGGGCTACAAGTAGCAGATTGAGATATTTATAGGGCTCTAGGCTAACCATATGTGGGCAACTTACTACTTTTTGGGCCACTTTAAAAATAATTTGGGATACATTTTGAGGAATTCTGCTTTACTTTTCATGAAACGTATATCTGGCAACCTGTGAGGTTCTTGCCAGACACTCTGTTTATCTGCAATTAATTTATATTATTATTATTTATTGATTAACAAAAATAGTGGCTACATTCTATACATGTAGCCATATTTCATTTGCATAATAAATTACATCAGTTATGTGGTATTTAGCATATTGTATAGATATACGTAAATCTCAGATAATTCAAAGTCCTGATTATTTCGTCCCTTGAATTTCAAACTAATGAGGATTTCCTGTATTAGAAGAAAGTCTTTTTCATGAAATTACTGAGAAGCAAGTACTGAAATTGTGAAACTGATTCAAATCAAATCTGCACGTCATTCAGTAAAAGATGAACCTTTCTTATTTAGTAAAAGTCTGATGGCTTATAATGGTCAGATAATGTAATAAGATTTTAAGATTTGGTTTTCAATTATAATCAGAAAATAGTAATAATTTTTGTATATTATCTTCTAAGTTGAAAGTTATTTAATAATAATGTAATATTTACGTAAAATTTAAATTAATATAAAATGGATTTCTACATTAGAGTTTAAAAAACGAGGCAAATAAATCAAAATGGTAGAAAATAACACTGTTGTGCATTAAATTGTATATAACAAAACATTAATCAGTCAATAAGTAAAACTATTTTATTGTTTTTTTTTATTCAGTATTTAACAAAGAATGTAAGAAGTTCAAAGTTATTTAATATGACTGTAATTACATTATATTTCTTAGCAATCATGAAACTGACTGCTCATCAAAAAATGAGTTTGAAAAGTTCATCATTTGTTGGACAGACTATATTGGAAATACACAAAAATATTAGAATTTTGTGGGTGTTTTTGAATAAACTTAAGAAACTTCATTAAGTTAATCTCTGGAAAAGATAATTTAATAAAGTTTCTTAGGTTTTTTCAATTAATTATCATTATTAGGATCCAATACAGAAAGAAACTGTAAGATTCTAGTATTACAGTTACAAATCCATGTACACTTGATTCTTCAGTCATCTTTTCTGAAGAACTAATATTATTTAAATTTTTATTAAATTTAAATATCATTATTTAAATTTAATAATTGTTTTTAGTATATTTTTTGCACAGTGAACATACATCAGTGTGCGCAGCATCATTTTAGCTAACGTTTATTAAAAAAATATATGTATAAATGCCTTTGTTTACTAATAACAAATATGCTTTAATATGTTGATACATGTTAGTTGTTTTGTTTAACTAATTAATTTTGCTAATTATAAATAAAGTCTTTTCATCTATGAAATGATCCTTTTTATAAATAAAATACTTTCTTAGTGGAACTAAAATCAATATAAATAAAAACAAAACCTATAAACATTCCAGCAAATCGTTTTTAATATCTTAAAAACATTTGGATCCTGATAATGATAATTAATTGAAAAAACGTTTTTAAGATATAAAAAAACAGTTTGCTGAATGTTTAAAGGTTTTGTTTTTATTTATATTCTTTTTATAGTTATTTATCTGTAAAACTATATAAAGTAATTAAAGATTTTATTACAAAGATTTATTTTAACGTTAATTTTAATATCCAGTTATTGAATTCGAAGTGCAGACTATTTTTTACACACAAAAAATGTTTATCATCATTCTATGATTTTCTTCAGTTTGATTTATTTGTTTAAAGATCGTGTAATGAATTATTACAGGAATAAAAAGTTTTTAAGTTTATAAATAATTTTGTCATAGTGTTGTTGATGAAAACAAGTCATTTAAATTCAGTGAGAATATGTAGAAACTATAATGATTTGTGCAAAGAAAATCAGCTAATAATTGTTTTTATTACTGTAATAAATAGTTAATATTTTAACTATTAATATCTTTATTTAGAAATAAAACTAATACTCTAAATAAATACACTTACACTCCATTATAGATGTGCTTCATTACAGCATGATATACAATACATGTTAATTATGTCCCTGACAATAATAATGCAGTCTTGTCCAAGAAGTTGCATCTCCGGGTCTCACTCCTCCAGATTTTGGGACTTAATGGGGACATATCCAGCATTTGCGAGTGTTGTAAAACTTTACTTTTATTAAAACTTGAACATTTTCTACTTGCGGTCCAGATATATTGCAATCTCGATCCCAAGAACTACATTGTAATGGAGTTGAAGTGTACTATAGGATTTGTATAAATTTTTATGATTTATCAAGTTTTAAGAATGTTAGTTTAATTCTAATTGAGAATAAATTACTTTATTGTGTGGTATTGAACCAAGCCTATATGTATTAATTAAAATTGAAGGAAGCTAAATTGCTTTCACAGTGCAATTTGTAAACATATTGGGAAATTCAAGAAATGAATGTGTTCAACTTTAATGTGCCAAATTTTGTAGTTTTAAATTCATTATATACATGTAATATGCTATAAATTTTTAATATAAATGTGTTTTTTATATCCTTTATATAAAAATATGTACAAAATATTAATATTTTATTAAAACATAAAAAGTGTCATGTTTTGTGATAATTAAATAAGTTTTATTTATGTGTGTTACCATTTTATAGAATTACATTTTACTCATTTCTCCATACTTCATTAAATTTTAAATATATCAAGTAATAGTGTCTGTTGTTAACGGATTCTGATTTAATGAATTTTGGAAACAATTTACCAAAAATTAGCATAACTCAAAAATTCAGTTAGAAGTAGTTTTAATGAATAAGATTTTGTCTGTCATTATCTCTGTAAACTTTCTACAAAATTAATTTAGAAAGATGAAATAATCAGATTTGTATTATTTGGGTCTGCATATAATTTCATATTATACCAAATTCACTTTTGGGCTGCAATTTGAAAAAGTTGTAGATCTATAAATTCCCACTATTGTCTGCCTGTCTGTCCTATAGTCTCGAGAACAGAGTTAGATAGATGAAATACAAGACCAGATATATAATAGAAACCTTGTGGGCAGGAGGCCCCAATTAACTATATACAGACTTTCAATGCAAACCAGAAGTCATGTTATTTCATTTAAAAAATTTTCTCCTAAAAGGAGTTAGATGATCTGCGTGACTATCGTTAAAGGAAAAGTATTGTGAAAATCAATATAATGTATGGAGCAAGACACTACTAATTTGTGGTGGAGAGCATATATTTTAAATGAAATAAATTAACAATTGCATCCTGGCATTGTGATGAGGTCACAATAAATAATTGCTCATAATTAATCAATTATATTTGGATTAAACAATCTATCAATGGTCTTAAATAGTTTACTTTTCGGGGCTCTTTCTGCCCTGTGGGTGCTAAGAGAGTCTTTTTTTCTCCCGGCCTATCGTGTATGGCCAGCTAGTGAGGATGGGACCAAGCTGCCTGATATATATATATATATATCTTTCAGGCAGCTCAGTGTGTTTTTTTAAAATCTGCCCTGTGGGCACTTTTTTAGCAAGTCCATTATGGGCTCGGCCAGGCCCACAATGGGGTGGCCCGGACGAGGACGCCTGACATATCAGAAATAAACTACTCCATCTTAAAGATTTTATTAATAAAAATAATATTCATATATAGAGGTAGAAAGCACTATAACCCCAAAATTTTTTCTGGGCCAGAGGAAAAACTCAATGGCCTGTGGTTACCATAAAAATAAAATTTATTTCTACTTTAAACAATATTTTATTATTTAACCCTCCCTCTCCCTCCGCGGGTGGAATTTCGGAAAATCCCATCTTAGGGTCATCATGAGAACTCGCACTACTTGTGTACCAACTTTCAACTCCTAACCGTTTGGGCTCTGCGCTTATCATCAACTCATCTCGATTATATATATATAGATTAAATTTCTTAAGAATCTGTAGAAATCCGATTTGAAATTTCGAGAAGTATTGACAAAGGATAAACACTAATGGCCCATGCACACGAACGACAAAATGAAGGCAGCGATAAGCATCATCTACGGATTCGATCAAACGACAATCGTCTCGTTTGATCGAATCTGTCGATCAATCGACGTTGTTTCTCGTTGCCAATTGTGCACTGGTCTTAAGTCCACCGTTATACCAGTAGTAGTGGATTGGGTTCCTTCGAGGACCTAGGCGCAAGTTTGTTATGTAAAAAGTCTTTTTTTTTTATATTAAAACAACTAAAATCGTCAAATTATGAGTTATGTCACTGTTCTTGCCTGGGTGCAAAACCTCCACTGAGAGGATTATTCGAGAAAATAAATATAATATACCGATTTTAATCGTATTTATTGTTAATTTTAATTAAAAAACATAGCAAAAAGACAATTTTTGTTTTTTGAAGTAATTTGATGCCGAATCAAACAAAAGCTTTATTAATTTTAAAATATCCAAATGTCACGTGACACACTTCGTACGCGTCCGCCGTCCGATGTGACGCTCCGCGACGAAAACAAGCTTAAGCAATGGCGTCTTCGAACAGGTACACTCGATAAGTATTCCGACAATCTTTTGTTCGTATCATATTTCATATCGATCATTTCCAACAAATAATACGTGTTTTGGAAATATTCGAGTGAAATTAGTCTAGATTTGATTAATTTTATGGAAGAAAACCTCTCAAATAGCCTTACCCCCTAATCAGCACAAGTGCCGTAGTTTTTTACCAGGTTTGTACGGATACCGTCGCAATTTTTTCGCCGTCTTATAGGAATCGTAATTATAGGAACCCGTGTTATGGGGGTCTACTGTACTATCTTCTTCAGCTATCTTCGTAAGAGTGAGTACACCAGTAGCCGAGTGAATAAAGCCACCAAACACTGGTAGCTAGTCGTAGGTTCAAATTGAAATTAATTGATATACAGGAATTCAATCAATATATTAAGATGGTATGTACTGTACATTATCTAAGAAGTGTGTTAACGTAACTGCCGAGTGTCATGGTCGAAGGGCCTAGGATTGCATAGCGAACAAACAAACATACCCATTGATGTATATATACTGTATATATATATGTACAAAAAGAATAATCTGAAAATTTTCTTTAATTTAGAGAATTTTTTCCTCTTTGGTGCACCGACCATTGATTGATTGATGTTCACATTGGATGTCACATCCTCGACTATCCTTTGTATCAAAATGAAAAATGCAAATGAATTAAAAACTATCGATAACACATATTTAGTATTATTAATTAAAAATTAAATCATTAAAATAAAATTGAACGTTGTAATAAATGTAGGAATCGATTTTTCTGCATGAATGAGTGTAATATATTAAACTTTATTACACAATTAGTGTTATTGATGTCTAGCCTTTCAAAGCAGAGAGAGATATTCGGTAGATGAAGGAGTTATGCTACATTCACTTGATGCTTTCCAATGGAAAAACGTCGCATAGGCTGATACTAATTTTTACAGCTTTCTTTCAAAATGTTCTATTGATTCTGAAACTTATCACCGTCATCTATTGAAACAGTGTTAAAAATAGTGAAAAACCTTACCAGTATCACATGAATTGTCTTTGATACGGACAAAGCTATGTTCTTCACGAAAGTATAGAAGTTAGAAGTTCTATATTAACTGCTATAGATCCTATAATCACATACAAATTATTTAATAATATGGAGTGATTCGTGCAGGGACAGAACAAGAATTTTCAGTATCTGTTAGCAAAAGGTTATTTCAAAACTACAGATTATAAATTTATTAGAATGGGTTACAGCCTCAGAGTCCCGCAAAAAACATCAAAATCTTTATCAACAATGTCGGTTAATAATCAGTAAATCCAGTAGATAAAATCTGATAATTGATACGAAACAGTATTTTAGAGATATGAAACCCTTTCATCAATGCTCAAGCTCATCAACAAGAAAAAAAAATAATGAATTAGGTGCAAATGTTCACTTCGGGGAACTATTTAAATGAATACGAATTGAAACATTTGTTCCCTGTCTATTCAAGGAAAAATATGATCATTATATAGCTACCGTTTAAGTAAGCTAGTATTCTTCGATACAAATCTGTGCCACAGAATAAAACTAATATCAGCATCCCAGAAAAAAACAAAAATGTTACGGAACATAAAGAAACAGCAGAAAACAAACACATATTTTAACATAAGTAAAACCATGTATGATCAGATATCATCGATGATTAAATAAATAAACTGTATTTCATATTGCCAGGAGTTGTCAGTCTCATTTATTCTTTGAAATAATATTATTTTTGTAATATTACATTTGAAACATCTGATTTTGATAAGTTACATTCTTTCGATCTTTGTTCACATCTTATAGCATACCTAAGAGTATTGTTAAACTTTCCTCGATTTCCTTAATTTAATGTAACTAATTCTCAATTAAGTGCTTGAAAATAAGGAATTTACCTCTGGCACTTACCACAAGCACTTATGTGGTGGTACACCAATATATTTT